TGCTTTCGAGACATTTATATCATCGCTGTCCAAAGAAAATCATGCATCTCCACTTTTGTTGACTTTAATTTCTTTACATCACTTCAACACAGCTTACGTTACCTTTACATTGAGTACATATACATGTGCTCAATAATCCGATCATAATCAGATTTCTGCAGTTATCCGATTATTCAAATGGTCATTTAAACACCATACTCCGATCTAGAAATCCGATTAAGAAATCCGATACAGAGAGCTGGATTTTAGTTCAGTAATCAGATTTCTCAGTGCATGTAAACTCGTACTCTGATTTCTATCGGATTTCTCAGTCTGCGCAAGAACAGACGATGGATCGCCAGACGCTGCAAAACACTTTTAGAGCGGCGCTGAAACCAAACACGAAATAAAAGATTTTAATATTCTTCATCTTCTAGATGATGTATGTTCATATTTTCAGGTAAAGTGGTGCGATGTTTTAAAAAAAGTTTGAGTTTTACGTTACAATCACGTCACGTCTTCTTCTGTGAGTTTATTGGCTGGTTGCAAAGTAGAAATCTGATTACTGTCTGACTCATGTAGACCCAGAGTTTCCCCATTATCTGATTACTGATAAAATCTGATTTTCTGCAGTTTTCGGATTATTAAGAGCACGTAAACGCACTCAGTGTGAAAAAATTCATGATGAATGAACCAATAGAAATGCTCTTAAATCACTTCAAAACAAAATCTCTTTACATTGACTTACATTGATAGATGTGAAGATACGATTTTGGAGATACTTGTTTTTCTATGGACAGCAAGGATATGTCAAGAGCTCTGTTCTGATTGGCTGTCCCGTATTGTGCCCGTTTCATTAAGAAGTTCAGGCAGAAACACTCCTTATAACTTCAATGTTAGTGGTCGAGGCATAAATAGAGTAATCTGAACAGGCAGGTATATGTAAGGGTTCTGGCTTTTGACATCACAACAATAAATTTAAAGTGGGCTGTTTGTGTAGATAACTTTCTATTTATGGACTTTAACGATGGGGTTGAACACTACATTTTAAAACTTTGTTTGGTTCACGCAGCACATCCAACTCTTCTGTTACAAAAAAGCTTGGAAACTGCAGTTTTGCACGGTTTTAGTCTTTTAATTACACTCTAAGGGGTGGTAGACACTGATACACCCACATCAGTCAGTGGTTGTATGAGTAACCTGATTACTCACTGGGTGAGTGCTAACCAGGATATGGCACACGCATGGAAAAATCCAGTGTGGTCAAAACAGCACAAGGGTTTCTTCCTTCTCTCCTTCAGGCCCGGCTCTTTGTCTTTTTGGGTAGTACAGCTGCATTCACCCGTGAGTCAGCACATGCCTGGATGAAGAGGCAGCAGGGGCAGCTCCATAATGGCAGCATGGAACAGTTCCTGTTTCACACGCTCCCCCCTCAACACCCACCACCCCCGCTGATAGCTCTGCACACTCGTGTGTGGTCATTCCAGCATGCATTAGTAATAGGCCCCAACATCCAAATGAAATGCCATTCATAAGGGTTCTATGTAAGGTCACCTCAGGACAGCCACAGATTAAATGCCACACAATGAAGCATCTTTCGCCTTCGCAGCTGTTCTCAGATCAGTGTGTATGTGTATCCCTGAAATGCCTGAAGCATGCTGTAGTTACACTGGTTAAAGTGATCATTTGGCTGAAGACAATCACCCTGCAAGGAGATGTTTTATTCATGTCTGCTGTTCCTCATACTGCAGCAATTTACTAACAGAGTCTGATAGCACAGCATTAAACTGTGTTCCAGTGTGAATATAGCTATGTGATGTCTATATATATATAGATAGAACACAGCCACACACACACACACACACATATATACATATATATATATATATATATATATATATAGACATAGATATAGATAGATAAATAGATAGATAGATAGATAACAAGCACTCACAATCACTGGGTCTGTGGCCTAATTGTGAAATGTGGCCCACTGGGCAATAAGCAGTGTCTACCCCTGCATCTAACTGACAACTGATTCTGCCTGTTTCTTTTACCAGCATTCATTGATTCACTGATACCTGATCAGCAAACAAATAACCCATCAATGCAGAACCAACATTCACTCCGTTGACTGTTAATTAAGCACAACCTCTTGTATCGACACTAATTGGCCACAGAAGCAGCACAATGCACACACTACCCTGGTATCACTTTGCTATGCTGAAAATGGTCCACTCTAGGGATGGGCAATATGGCAGAAATGTCATAGGACGATATGTAAAACATTTTTACAATGCATGATACGTATCGTGATATTCTGACTTAGACGCAATACACTTGTGGTGCCACATTTGAAAACCTCCATCAAAAAACTAAAATTTATTCGATCAAAATAAAATAAATCAAAATAAATTTATTCGAAATTTCACACACTATGCTATACTGAATCCAATTAACTTAGCCATTTAAAATGGACTAATTAATTTAAAAAAGCTGCAGTTGGTCAGCGTTAAAGAACTGACTGCATCCATGATATGCTCAGAAAAGCATACTGTTTATCACAATAACAAAACGCATCACAATAACAATAAAATATCGTAACATTACCCACTTCTGGTCCGCACATATTAATATCTGATTAGTGGTGGTCCTATGGTAGTCCCCTTTCCATTGATGGACAAGGTAGGGGGGCTACAGTTATTGTGCAGGAACAGGTGGGCTACAGTTAGTAAATATAAAACAGCATTTGTCCACTGCAGAAAGCAGTACTAGGGATGAGTCAGAATCTTTGAATATTTGAACACTCATGAAAGTTTAAAAAAAATCGAAAAGTGAATTAGAGGAACTTTGACATGCAAATAAGCTTCTCTCTAATGTTATATGGCATCATATTTAAGAACGCATGGTGGCCTTAATAGGGTGGCCAATTAAATAGGGTGGTTAACAGAGGGGACTGTAATGGTCCAAGCAGGTGGATAATGAACTAAAGCTGGAACTGTGCACTCTTTTGGTTCCTGTTTGGGTCAATTCTTGGTTTTGAATGTGCAGGAAGTGCACATAAATGGTAGGTGTTTCTGATAAGTACAAGGTAGATGTGCCCAATGAACTGGCAACTCAATGTATATTTAGCAATTCTTTGGGGCACATCTAAATGGCAAATGAATCTTCAAAGGCTGGTTTCTCTTAAAGAAAGAGATAAAACACAGATAAAGTGATGCAGATGTCAACATTAGTGTGTGGAAGCCCACATTCCTTTCAGACAACTTCAAACACCTGTAGGGATCACTGAGTAAACCTTGATCAAGCACCCACATATTGCACAACCTCAGCTCATTAGAAGGGCAAAAAGTTCTGCAGCAGCATCTACAGGCAGCTCCTCTTAAGAAATAAACAAGTGAGCACAAACAGAGATGTTTACCTCTCTTGTATACCTTATTCAGCTCAAGGAGCTGATGATTTGGGGAAACGTGAAACTGCACAACATAGGGGGCTTTAATAAAAACTTAAATTGGGGAACATTACTGCTGTAATTGAGACGAAAAAGCTAGCAGTTGGTTAACAGAACACTAAGTTCCTTCTATGAAGCAGCAGCCAAAGTCCTATTTTGAGAAATCATTCAACTGTGGAAACACATCTGTTTGGAAAAGCCAAAAAACACCTCTGCTTTCATCTGTACTACTTATAAGCTACTAAATATAATGACTATATGATACTGCAATATTTCAGGGGTGTCAGACTATGGAACTATGGCACACCTATGATTTCCCAGCTCAGATCCATGTGATTCAACTCATCGGTTAATGACCACGACATCACATATTAGAGCAAGGAAATCACCAAACTGTGCTGGACTCCAGCCCTGCGGGACGGAAGTTGGGGTCCCCTGCTGTGGGCCATGAATTAATTATGCTGCTCCAAGAGCCTTCTATAGCCCTTACCCATCAAAGCATGCTCTTCTGAGTTACTTTCAAAAGGCCCATTCCTTTGGGTTTCACTCTAAGCAGTCTGGTCATTTTTGCTGTCCTGCTGCCAAGATATTCCACTGCAATGAATCAGTATGCCTTCAAATAAAAAAAATCGAGCAGTGGCTTTAGACCCTATGCAGTTAGAAGCTGCTGGCCTGGCCTGCCATGCTTGAGCAACGTTGAGGACAGGCATGTTTAAGGACTGGATGGTGAATGAATAAACACTGAGTGAGTCAGTATGTGTGGATATGAACTACTGAAATTCGATTTTCAGTCCAAGCTGTGGTTTCAAGGCCCCAGAGCTGGACTGGGACATTCACTGAGGCTGGGAATCTAAGTCCAACCCATGCAACACACACACATATATATATATACATATGTATTGTCTTCTTCATAAGTAGCCAAGTTGCATGTGTCTGACTCGTTATCTATGGATTTATAGAGTCCAAAAGATGGCAAACATCTGATTAAACGAGGCTGCTTCTGAAATCAAGGGTGTTAATAGGCAGTTTGTGTTTTCTTTGCTGGGGTAACAGTCTCTACTCTTCTGAAAGGGCTGTATATTAGATGCTGGAACATTGCTGTGAGGGTTTGATTGCACTGACATTGATGAGAGCATTAGTGAGGACAGGCACTGATGTTTGGTTCTGGAGTAACACCACTCCAGCTCATCCCAAACATACTAGATAGTGCTCTATCACCCCACAGAACACAGTTCCACTGCTCCACAGTCCAATGCTGGGGGGCTTTAGACCCCTCTAGCTGGTGCTTGGCATGGGCATTGTGAACTTAGCCTCATGTGTGGCTGCTCCAGACCTTCCCATTCTATTAGCAATACTTTTCTATGGAGATTATACATGCTGTGTGTGCTCAGCAGTGGGTGCGCCATTTAAGGGGAGTTTGGACCCTATTGGACAAACAGTGCACATACATATCTACATCTACAGTTATATACAGATATAAATGTGTTATAAATTAATATACGATAAGAAGCCCACCTATAAAGTAAAACAATACCTCACAAGTAATGTTAAACTCTCCAGACATACTCACTTTCTCTTGTACTCGTCCCTCTCTCTCTTCACCTTGGCCAGCACGTTGTACAGGGCTCGGAGCTCTGGCGTTATGGTGTCAATCTGCACCCCGACTCCGTCCGGATGGGTCCAGGACACACCGGGTCCGTGAACGGTCTCTACGCGCTCTCCGGACTTCCACACGTGCGTGAAGCTCCAAATCGTGCCGGGCAGCCGAGACTCCTGCGGAGAGTCCGTCTGCACCGCGACGTCTCGGGCGAACAGGCTGTGGTACCTGGCCCGCTCGGCCGCTTGCTGCAGCTGGCTCTCGAGCAGCTTGTTCCGCCGCTCCAACTCGTGGACTTTGGCGAGGAAGCAGCGGAAGCGCAGGTTCAGCGTCTTCAGGACGTGGATGTTGGAGCCCAGGTCGTTCCTCAGGGCGGCCGCTGGAGCTCCGGGACTGCCGCCGGTGGCGCCGCCGCCGTGCAGGGCCGAGAGCATCGCGGCGGCCGACGGCAGACCGTCACCGAACAGCAGAGAGTTCATTGCGCCTCTGGAAGCCACTGTCGCCGCTGCGGCTTGTTAGCCGTTATTTGCTAGCTAAAGCAGCCGGTCCAAATCCTCCGCTTAACGGTCGTCTCTCCGCACCGCGTCCGCGTCTAAAACAGCTAAAACACCCCGAAAACCGAGCGAAGGAGCGACGGCGAGTGCGTTCACCATCACTGGGAGTACGTCCCTTATCTTTTCAGCATTACTAATCCCGTTTTTGCGGTGGCGGTTGGTCTTCTCCTACCGTGTCAGCTCGACTTCTCCCTCAGGAGCTCCTTCATCCTCGCCCCGCACGTAAAAGAGACGCGGGTCGTTTTTCAAGAAGTTTTACTTCAGCTTTTAAACTTAAAAGTCACGTCAGTGTATAAACAGTTCACCGCCGTCTGAAAACCGTCAGTGCCCGGTTTAACCGCGTGGCGCACGAGAGGTGGTTCATGTCCAAATGCTAACGGATCGCGTTTCAGCGGCGCTACAGCGCAGTAACCGCATCGAGGGCCCCGCCCCCCCCCCGTCACACAGAGTCTGACTGCAGGGCCTCAGGCCCCGCCCACTACAACACGGGCCCACCACAAGGCCACGCCCATTCCCATTTAATCCTATCATCTCATCAACATTAGCAAGAAAACTTGTTTAAAGTTGCTGCCTTTAAGATGATAAACTGGAAGAGCAGCACTTTCCTCAGATATCTGGAGCTTTGCAACATATATTGAATTCCCCAGTGTCTGATTATTATTATGATATGCTATTTCCCCCCAATATTTATTTATTATTTATTTATCTTGTTTGTTTGTTTGTTCTTTTAGATTAATTCATAGCTGTTAATTTACCTATTTAGTGTAGTAGTGATGTATGCTGTAGTAGTGTGTGTTATGATTGTTATGAGTTATTGTATCAATAAAAAAATAACCTGTTTAAATATACATGTACCCAATTTTTCATTCATGAAAGTAGGATTATAAAAAATCTTTCGTAATTTCACAAGTAAGTAAGCTATAAATCTTGGAAAGTATGTTAACAGGGACTTTTTTTTTTCAAGTTTCTGCTTACGTCAGTCACTGAAATGTCATTTAGAGTGGTTTGATGTAAAATGGTTCGCTGTAGAGAAACTTACTACACCAAATTTCTTCACAGTGGTTGTGATAGGAACCAGACATCTTGATTTTACAACATAAGTGTAGCCATTTTATTTACTATCCAAAACCACCAGTGAACCTGCATACGTTTTTATGTAACGTTGATATGTAATGTAATTGTTAATTAGTGGTAAATCTGACAATAAAGTTTTCTTTGGGGGCTAATTCACCTTACAGTGCACCATAGGACCCTCTTCACCATTAATGGATTTTGAAAAATCAGCTTTAGACTGTGAGCCAAAATGTTTTTTTTTCATAACTATTGTAAAATAACGTTTCAGACATCAAACAGCATATTCGTAAACATTTAATGTAACAATTTCTGTGTGGGAGCTTTCAGAGGCATTAAACTCTTCAGATGTCTGGTTCCTATGACCACCACTGTGAACAACTGACTCAGTAAGTTTATCAAAAACAGCATTTCATAACAAACCAATCAGAATAGTCTTGTTTACATCTTAACTGTTTATTCATGTAGAAATAAAAAGTGGGATTCCTCTTTAAGAAAAACAAATGACTGTAATTCTATAATGGATTACTGTGTGTGTGTGTGTGTGTGTGTGTGTGGGTGTGTGTGGGTGTGTGTTTAAGTTATTTTATTTTATATTATTATTATTGTATTATTATGCTTCTTTCTGTAATCTAAATTTGTCACTAGACTGCATTTTGCTTTCGTCACTTGTATTTCTTTATGGCTTAGTTAGTCTAACATTATTAAGAGCTTAGATAACATTACTAACTTTGCCTTTTGTGTTAATGAATCCATCAACTAAACAAACAACAAACAACCAAACAAATAAATAAAATGAAATACACATGTGCTATTCAAACTTCATTCACAACCAGACACTCCCACTATAAAAGACATTCCCATTCCACTTAAAAAATACTCAGGTAACATATCGTGAGAAGGCCGATTCAGTTTTCTCAATTTGCTTCTTAGTGGATTTCATAATCTACTTGTACAGATAAATTAAGGTAAAATAAATCAAATCAACTCATCTGAAGGTTAGCATTTTACTGCATGATGTTGCCATTAGGCAACAAGTGCTTTCTTTGAACTTTTTAGCCTGGCTACAATTTTTTTCTGATTTTGAGATCGAAATGCTTCATGTGTAATATGGTATACTTTAATCTGATCATGTTCCTTCCTGTTGCAGCCTGCTTTCCTTTTGTCACACATGCATCATATAATGAGGCCTGGAATCTAAAGCACTCTTCAGGTTTATGTGTGTATAGATAGATAGATGGATGGATGGATGGATGGATCGGTAGGTAGGTAGGTAGGTAGGTAGGTAGATAGATAGATAGATAGATAGATAGATAGATAGATAGATAGATAGATAGACAGATAGATAGAACTTTATTGATCCTGAAGGGAAATTGCAGTGTTACAGTAGCAAGACATATAATTGCACATACACTTACATATACTATACAGAAAATAAAAAATAGAAATAAAAATAGACATAAGTCACTGTCTGCCCTGCGATGGACTGGCGACCTGTCCAGGGTTTATCCTGCTTTCCCCCCAATGACATCTGGGACAGCAGCAGACATAAATTAGACAGAAATAGAAAAATAGTATATCTATTGCATATTTGCATAGCATATAAGACAGATTTGTTGTATTTCCATGAGAGCAGGTATTGCACTAAGTGGTATGAGGTGGTTACAACACAATGAATATAAGCATAACGTTAAGTATCAGCAGTGTCTTCAGTCTAAAGCGCATAGTGAAAGTGTCAATACAGTACCAGGTTATAATATATTGCACAGTGTGTATTAACAGGAGCGGTGATATAGTGATGTGGTTCAGCTCAGTTCAGACAGCAGGAGATCAGTACCGTCTCTGCATTGAGGAGACTCATTGTAGAGCCTTATATCAGTGGGTAAGAAAGATCTCACGCTCTTTAACACAGCACAGCTGTAACAGTCTGACACTGAATATGCTTCTCTGTTCATCCAGTGTAGCATGCAGGGGGTGTGAGGTGTTGTCCAAGATAGCTAACAGTGTGTTGAGTGTCCAAAATATAGTTCAGTATTTATAACAGCGATCTCAAAATAAAGTTTTTAAACTCAATCTATAGGAAGTTACAAAGTCTTTTCCTGTAATAGAACCAGTTTACATGCTGTGAGTTTTATATAAAATGAAAAAATGTAATTGTTGCCATATGTAGCACATACAATGGGAGTAAATTAATACAGTGCTGTAGGACTCTGACCTTTTCACAACTTTTTTACATTTCATGTTGATGTTTTTATCAATTATTTTCTTACCTTTCTGTATCCTAGAAACATTTATGCATGAATGCCTGTTGCTCACATGCTTTTTCAAGCCTAGATGATGAACGTGACTGAATGAAGGTCTAGTGGCAATGTACTGGTTTACTCTCATTGTATGAATGCAGATTGCAGTTCCATTGTTACATGCTAAAATCTAAAATTAATCCAATTGCCAGTAGAAAGTTATACAAACACACATTATGATGGATCCGAGCTACACTGGGGAAGCTAATTTGACCTGACACATAGAGGGGAAGTTACAAGAGCTCAAAAATGATCAATATTTATAGTGTAAGCAACTATTTCATTGACAAAAAAGTAATCTAGAATGTAAAACACACTATTGATGCAATTTAATCAACTTAAACTGAATATTTTGATTATAGATGTATAGAAATTAATCGTCCAACATCAGTACCTGACCTCACTAATGCTCTAGTGGCTGAATGCAGTCAAATCTTCATAGCAATGTTCCAACATCTAGTGTAAAGCCTTCACAGAAGAGTAGAGGCTGTTATGGCAGCAGAGTGGGGATAAATCCCTTATCAATACCCTTGATTTTAGAAGAAATGCTGGACAAACAAGTGTCTGCAAACCCCTGGACATGTAACTGTATATAGCTCTGTTCAGATTCCTTTATTCCATTTGTCTGGAATAACTGGATCCTAAAGAAAAAGCCGTTTACAGCTTGGAAGAACATTCACCATTACTAGTGATAAGAAACTAATAACACGATAATGTTGAAAATATTATATAACATTATCGTCTGACTTGATTTATTGGTGCAATACAGCTTAATTAGCCTTTATATCCCTACTGATGTGTAAAAGTTGTTACACAACCCTTTAAAAACATGTAAAGTCTTGAGGCCCAATAAAATAATATTTGTTGCAGGCATCTCCGTACCTGCAAGGGAAACACACCTAAAGTGAACACATTACATAACCATCCTGTTTTATGAGCTGGTTTTTGCAAAGTTGCCCAGATATAATGATCCTCACATTTACTTAGAGGAAATGTACATTTTGAACGGCTTACAGGGCAAAAATATCTCTTGCTTTGAGGCAAAAAAAACTGCTGTGCATCAATTCTGGTTATATAACAAACCTGATGAGCTGAACTCTATTATTTTGGACAGTGTGCACATTATTGTTATCATTATTATTATGATGATTATTATTATTATTATATTCTGCTGCAACACTACAGTTAATGCACTATGTTTCCAGAAGTAGACAAAACATTTGTAATTTCAGTTTCACCGCTTTGAATGGGACATTGTGGAGGAGATGCACATGAGCCTAAGGTCTCCAATGCTCAGTGCCAAGCGTTGCCTAGAGGGATATAAAGGCCACCCCCACCCCCTGCAGTGGAACTGCATTCTCTGGGAGTGATGTAACTCCATCCAGTACCTTTGGGATGAGTTGGAGTGGCGTTTGTGATCCAGAATTAATCATCCAACATCAATACCTGACCTCATTAATGCTCTTGTGGCTGAATGCAGTCAAATCCTCAAAGCAATGTTCAAACAACTACTGTAAAGCCTTCTCAGAAGAGTAGAGGCTGTTACTGTAGAAAAGTAGGGGGAAATCCCTATTAATATCCTTGATTTCAGAGAAAACAAACGTTTGGGCATATATTCACTAAAATATATACTATATGACTGTTTTAGTCACTTTTGTCAATGAAATAAGTCACATAGTCGGTTATTTAGGCCAATTGGAGCCAATTCATTTCAAGTGGAACTCCAATTATCTCATTACTATGGCGCCATCTGTCGGTTAAGAGCTGTAATTGTCATCATATTTTCTCTCTACAGCCGGTAGGGGGCAGTATATGTTTTCCTCATTTGTTGCTAACTTAAAGAAGAAGAGGGGAACAACGTGAGCACCATGCCGAAGTCAAAGAGGGATAAGAAAGGTATTTAAATGCTTCTTAAATATTTATTTACATCTTTGTTTTTCCACTTTGAACATGTCGCGTTTCTATAGAGCTGACTAACATCACCAAGCGATGGACTTGCTTGGTTAGCGCGCTAAAGCTGTAGCTGGATCAGTGCGTGCTGTCCGGCTGCTGAGTTAGTTTATTAGGTTGATTAATATTTTCTGACTTTTCAGCTAAAAGTTAACTCTCAGACTGGAAATGACCTCCCTTTATCTGCCATTCCAACCCTTTCCTTGCTTTACTAGCTTGCTGTAACCTTATAGGACGGTAGGTCGATCATGTATTATAAGCATGTAATCCGCTGATTATATGTGTTTTATTATGAATTATGGCTGCTTTTTACACTTTTCCCTTCTCTGTCTGTAGTGTCCTTGACAAAAACAGCCAAGAAGGGCTGGAGGCAAAGCAGAACTTGATCGAGGAGGTGAGTGTCTTACAGTTTTTTTCGCTGCAGGTTATATTTAAAGCCTTCTTATCTAAAACTAGCATTCAGTATGTAATTAGTTATGTAATGTAGTGTTGTGTAGTGCATCGTTTCACCCCTCAGCCTCTTCGGTTTAGCAGAATTCATTATTTTGTAAATTTTTTTAAAAATCTGTTTCTGTCCAGCAGAGTTGTTTCACTACAATACCCAACATGCAACTAACATATACAACCAAATTGACTGTGCCATTGGTCTGGAGCAGGGTTGTCAGACCAGTAAAAGGGCCATATTAAAAAATTCCATCAAATCCAAAAAATTGTGCTAAAACCCAAAGTGGCCATTGTTTATTCAAAATACAGGGGGTCCCAAAAAATTGACATCATTCGAGATGTGAATATCTGTGTAACTACATGTCGTAGGCACACGAAATCAAATAGGCTTCATGCTGAACAATACAATATTTATTTATCAAAATTCAAACAAGAAATTCAGAGGGATGTAGATTTTATAACCGATTTCACAGCTTCACAAATGTAATATCTTCTGATACTGCTGCTCGTCCAGATCCCTTCGTCCTGCCTAGACAGCCTTCCTCTTCGAATTTTTTGTGCCATGTCCAAATCTGCTTTCCAGTTGGTGCATTTTTATTGAATTTTCTAGAAAATGAACGCTGCACACTCTTGTTTGACTGTGTTCGAGCATATTCTAACACTCATAGTGAACGCCATTCTTCAACCTGAAAAAAAAAAACATTAAAAATTAAACTTAGTTTTTACACATTTTGTTAAAATTTGAGATCATTTGAGGGAGAACTGGCTGTTATTAGACTATGAAATGATGGCAGTTTTTTTGGGACACCCTGTACACAAAAGCATCAGCAGTGAAATATAGGCACTTGTAGTAGATCTTAAAATGTTGAATACTTGAAATATCCAATATTTTTAAACCTATAAAAAAATGTGTTTTTCTTTTCTTTGCTGCACGTTCAATAAACTTGGGCTTGATTTCTGAGCTGCTCAGCTAAACTGTGAAACAGCCTAAGTTGAATAGAAAATTAAAATACTTTTGCAGGCTGGATAGGATTGTGTCACAGGCCTGATCCGGCCTGCAGGCCTTGTGTTTGACACATGGGGGCTAGAGGCTAATAAATACGTCTGTTGTGCAGGCTAGCATTAGCACCTCAGTTGGTCATTCTTTGTTAATGGAATAACTCAGCTGAAGAATTATCTTCAAAATGTACTTCCACCTTCAAGGTACATCATCAGCAAAGGAGTTTCCTAGTTTTTTTTTTTTGACATCCCAAAAAAACAATGAATTCCTATTTTTTGCAGCTTCGTTTCCATATATGGACTGAATGGACAGGGGAGCAAACAGTGTTTTAAAACTTTAACACCAGATTTTAAAAAAGCAAGGACAATTTGCTTTTGATGATTTGGACCCATCACTTTTATCAGGACATTTTTACTTGTTTAAAACCATTGTATTAAATTAAATAATCTGCCAATGCCATGCCAATGCAGCAGGACCTGGATGAATGAGATCATTTCATATAAAACTACTTAAATAAAAGAGCTAAACAGTAAATATTATAACATAATAAATTCAGAACAACCTCAAATAAAAGCTATCTTAGTATATTTAGTTATATTTTCAGAGTGAGATCCTGCTGGTGTGGGTTTCCTCTTTTTCAATGCTGCTCACAAAGGCAACTGGAGTACTTATAGCGTATAATTCACATGATCATTCTGACATTTCAGCCACTGAACTAGAGGCTAATAAATATGTCTGTTGTGCAAGCTAGCAGTAGTGAATTCTTCTGTTAACGGAATAGATCAGTTGAAGAATTAGCTTCAAAACTTACTTCCACATCAAGATACATCATCAGAAGTTTTTCTAGTTTTAAACAAAGAAATCACAACAAATGTAGGTTAGCAATGGTTACACTTTTCATTTTGGCCAGAGCGTCACATAAAATACCACTTCTAACTTGCTTGCACCTCATCTCCCCCAACCCAGCTGAGAAAATGTGTAGACACGTACCGGTACGTGTTCATCTTCTCTGTGGAAAACATGAGGAACAGCAAACTTAAAGATGTCAGAGCAGCATGGAAACACAGTCGGTGAGACATACTGAACACACGTCTGATTAGCTGATACTGTGTTGATGTTGCTGTTCAGTTCTAATGGCTAACATAAAATTTGTGTTGTGTTCAAGTTTCTTTTTTGGTAAGAATAAAGTGATGATGATCGCGCTTGGAAAAGGACCAACAGATGAGTACAAGGATAATTTGCACAAGGTATGTTCATTTGACTTAGCAGAAAGGTTTGCGGTTGTTGTGTAGAACTTGGGTAATTAGTTTCTGTCTGCCTTACAGGTCAGCAAGTACCTGAGAGGAGAAGTGGGCGTCTTGTTCACAAACAAAACCAAGGAGGAGGTGCAAGAGTAAGTGCAAGTGTAAAAAAGAAGCACTAATATAGTTTTTACATTATTGGACAGCCTCACATATTTGCCAGTTGGTAATGGTACCAGGACCACAACCAACACTTAGGCAAAATTCACACTTCTATATTTGGGTATTTGTACTGCTCTCACTATTTATTAGCAATTGAATACTCCACTGTTATTATTGAGTAATCAACTGATTATTTTGATTATTAAACATGTAGTCAGTGTGTGTTTTTAAACACATATTATTAGAGTATTTGTAGGTATCATCAATTTGTTGCTATTATTAGGTAATTGTTAATGCCATATGCTGGCTTTCTCTTGAGCTGTTCAGTCTGGACCTAGTTTAGCAAAACCATTTACTTGATAAACAATTACATTTTATTTCATTATCATGAAATTTTTTAAATTTGTTAGGGCTCTGGGCTCCCAAGTAGCGCAGCCATCTACAATATATGTAAATGAGCTTTGCTGTGATTGGCTGCCTTGCATTGTGCTTCATTCAAAGGCCAGTCCTGGCTGAAACACTCCTTACAGCTTCAGCATGAATGACCAGGGCTAATGTAACAGATATATGTAACAGTAAATGATTTAAATGAAAAAAGAACAATTGCAAATATGATCTATATTAATATATCTAATCTTATTTTAATTTTTGCCTAGTGCAAAGAGCACTCCTAAGTGAGATCCTGCTGGTGTGGGTTCCCTCTTTTTCAGTGATGCTCACAAAAGCAGCTGGAGTAATAATGGCACTCTTTGCAGCAAATTTGCTGAGCACAGCTTAATAATGACCTGTGGAAACCCAGTTTATCACTGAAACTGATTCAATGAGTGTAAATTCTCATCTTTTTTTTTTAAACTCTGGATATACAGTTGAGGTGTGTGTTATTCTTGTCCACATAAAATGGATATGCTAAAGCTGGGTAATGCTAACATGCTGAAAAAAATGCATTTTACTGATCTGTTTCTCGTGCATCATATTGTATAATATAAACTTATTAATACAGTGTTAAATGTTTATCTCCTGTAGATATTTCACCAGTTTCCAAGAGGCTGATTACGCGCGGTCTGGTAATACTGCACAGATGGCGGTGACGCTGGACGAAGGGCCGCTAGAACAGTTCACACACTCTATGGAGCCTCAGCTCAGACAGTTAGGACTGCCCACAGCTCTCAAAAAAGGTAATGTGGCTTTAGAGGAGAAATTTTCTTATTTTAAGATGATTGAAATTAAGCGACCCAAAGTTTATATGATTCAGCCAGAAATGACTTTTTACCCCAAATGCCTAAATCAACAACTTGTCATAAACAATGTTGAGTAATTTATTCATCTAAAAAAAAGCCTATGTGGTTTGTGAGACTCCTAAATCTCCCTTAGAACAAAAGAGGAGATTAACATAAGCGTTTCAGTGCAAGACGTTTTGCCAATGAATGAGAACAGCATGAGGTTGTATTATATATGATAAAAATTTGTGATATGAGTGTAAGAAAGACAAGTCAAACACAGTAAGTAGATAAGTGATCTGTGAGAAAGTATTTTAATCAAAGTGAGAAAATCAGTGTTATTTCTCAAGAGCAAAAAGGACTAGCAAAGCTAGGACAAGTGAGGGATTAAGAGGAGATCTTGCTTAGAATGTTTCTTTCCTCTGGGTTGGCTGATGGTCTACGTTTGGAGTAAGGAAGGGGAAATTGTGTGAATTCGATTGTTTGACCGAGTAAATCTGTCTGCAGGAGTGGTGACGCTGTTACAGGACTATGAAGTGTGCAAAGAGGGAGATACGCTCACTCCTGAACAGGCTCGTATTCTGGTAAGTTGGATGGAGAGAATCTTTGCTTCAGTGTTCCAGAATAAGAAATGTGTTGTGGTTCACATAGACAAGCCAGCTTTCCAGCGGCCAGTGATGAAGGGACGGTGTTAAAATGATCACTTTGTGAATAACAAAATGTCATATTTATAATGTGTAAAGCAAATTGAGTTTCATTGACTGTTCTATTGCTTACTGATGAGGATAAAAGACAGAATATGCTGATAATTTATATTTTCTAACAGGGTTCATACATTTTTTAGACAGTGGAATTCCAGGACTTTTCCATGACATTAAATGAAATGTCCATGCCAAACGTTCAGAAACAGTGCTATCATTTGTACTGATATATTGTGAGTGACAAATTAGTTGAGTTTTGGTGATATTTTTTAATCAGTATATTTGATAGATAATGAACGTTTTACTTTACTTATGGAATGCAAGGTCAATGCGCATGTTTCCACAATAAGGAAGACACTGAGCAATAACGGCATCTGTAGGAGAGCTGCAAGGTGCAAACCACTGCTGACCAAAAATAACACACAGGCTCATCTCATTTGCCAAAAAAAACATCTCAATGATTCCCAAGACCTTTGAGAGAATATTCTGTGGACTGATGAGTGACAATAATGCACATCTCACTAGCAAGTCCACCTCTGAGTGGCTCAAAAGAAACAAAATTAAGGTTTTGTGGCCGAGTCATCAAAGTCCTGACCTGAATCCTATTGAGATGCTGTGGCAAGACCTTAAACAGGTTACAATGTGGCCAAATTAAAACAATATTGCAACGAAGAGTCGACCAAAATTCCTCCACAGCAGTGTAAAAGACTCATTGCAAGTTATTGCAAACGTTTGATTGCAGTTGTTACTGCTGAGCATGGCAAAACCAGTTATTAGGTTTAGAGGGTGATTACTTTTTCACATGGGTGATACAGATTTCGAATAAATCTTTATCTTCAATAAACAAAATCATTTATAGCAGCTTTTCCAACTACTGAGAGTTTAACATAAAACATCCTTCTCATATAAAAACCTTTTTATTGTAAATAATCTTGTATTACTTCTTTATATATAATGTTTTCACTAATCACTATGAACAGTTAAGTGGTGGATGTCTTTTAGTTAGGGGTTCTTTACAGCAAATGGAGCTTTTACAACGATTTCTGTGTCCATTTATTTCAGAAACTCTTTGGCATCGAAATGGCCGAATTCAAAGTGACCATTAAATGCATGTGGAACTCTGAGACTGGAGACTTTGAGACGTTGGCGGGGGAAGAAGAGGACAACCAGCAAAAAGATGATGACGAAGAGGAGGAGGATGAAGAGTGAAGTGAATAAAGCAGAGGACTAAGTGGGAAATGGACTTTTCTCTCAGAATTTGCTGAGCTTGTGCAAACAGAGACATTCGAAACACGTTATATTTTTGTGTATATTTGTCTCAGTATGTGAGCTCCAGACTCACCATGAACAATGTTGTACATCACTGTATTGTACAGTTTGTTTTTGTGATCTTTCTCCTAAATACTTTGCTAAAACTGCTGTGTGCTGTTCACAAACCCCAGAACTGCTCAGTTGTCACACCATTACAATATTGTTTTTACAAAAATAAGAGCTGATTCACTAAGATTTCTAAGCCTGAAGTAACTGGTTTACAGTGTGTTTTTGTGGTTTTCCTGTCAAATTTCCAAATATAAACATATATATTGTTACATGCAATACAGAGTGCATGTTTATATAATGCTAAATGTTAAAAATTAAAAAAACATGGTTGAAATATTCCTGCAGTGTTCAGCTCTTGTCAGTAAAGGTGCTGGAATTAACAACAAATGATCAATTATGCATTTTATTTTTTATGGTACGTTTAGTGAACTGATAACAGCTTCTTATAAAACGACTTTGTACAGGATCTTTTGGAAAAATAAAATTATTGTGAAAGTGCTCATTTACAAGATTAATGGGGTCATCCTCAAATACAGTCAGTGTCTAACGGAAGTAGTTGGGGCACTCGTGGGCCACCAGGTCCCAGCCATGCTTGAATGCATCCACGACTTGCTGCTTCAGAGGGCCTTCTTCAGCTGCTGCCAAGTTCTCCTGAAGCTGCTCCATGGTGGACATCCCGATGATGACACCATCACCAAGATCACCCTGAAAGTACCAAGGAAATGAAATGCTGAAGATACAAGCAGCACAATGAATAACACAAGTAGCACATGATTGTTTCATTTGTGGATGGATTTTCCCTGTGATTTTACACTGGTGAGTGAAAGACGTGTATATACGATGGCAGTGTAAATTAGCAGGGAGCTTAAATAGGTTAAGATGGCCAATTGCAGCTGTTGTTGCAGGTATGAAAATGTGCAAATTGTCCAAAATTCTACATTTTTTCAAAATACAACACAAACCATATATTAGCTGTTCTTGATATAGTATTATATACACGTTATAACAAAATATATGAATACTAAGCTAATCACACTGTGTACAAAAGTATCCATTGTATTTTCTCTATCACAAAAAAGCATTTTCCCAATAGAATGGGATGCTCTGAAAAAGCTGCACATGAGCCTAAGGTCTCCATGCCCAGTGACAAGCATTGGCTGAACAGGTATAAGACCCCCTACCCCTAGCACTGGGCTGTGGAGCAGTGGTACTGCATTGTCTGGAATAATGGCGCTTTATCCGATACCTTTGGCACCATCCTGTGTGGCTTCTAAAATCAAGGGTGTTAATAGGAAGTTTGTTCTCCCTTAACAGCCTCTATCCTTCTGAAAATGCTTTTGAGCATTAGTGATGTCAGTTACTATAACTGGATGATTAGCTTCAGATCACAAGCGCCACTCCAACTCATCCCAAAGGTACTGGATGGAGCTCCATCACTCCAGAGAACACAGTTCTACTATACCCCTTTGGGTGATGCCTGGCATTGGGCATGGGCTCATGTGTGGCTGCTCTGAGGCGTCCAATTCTATCTGCAATGCTTTCATTTGGAAATTACACAAGCTGTGCAACTGAACACCTTATCTAAAGTTATTCTAGTCTATCGTTCCAGGAAAGCTTGGGTAACCCCAAGCTGACACCAGATCAGGTCAGTTGGGATCTGTGATGCAGACAGGCCTTTTAGGATTGATGAACTCCTACCTTCAGCTGAGAGTGATGATACATCCAGCGTATAGCGGCTGATGTCAGTGTTGGCTTCTGTGAACCATAAGCTGCTTCAAGAGCCTTGAGAACGCCATCTATGGCATGGAAATGGCTTTCTTTCCAGTACCTAAAACAGTCACAGATGAAGAGCGCCATAGACTTTCACTTATTTATGCTTTAGAACCCGATTCCATAGAGCACCTTAAACATAGATATTTATACCCCCACCAGTAGCATCTCTCTATCTCTAATTTGTCCTTTTTGGAGTCACAGATGCATGCTGAGAGCAGCGTTTGCAATAAAGACCCTAGACAAAATTTCACACTAAGATTCATTCCGCTGTCCCAGCTAAAACACACTGTATTACAGCTGATACCTGAAGACTTTTCAGGAAACAAGTTCTTAAGTATCTAAGCAAATGCAGCCTACAGTTTTCCTCTAACCTGAAATGTAACCAATCAGCCAACATGTTGTGTCCCAAGATTTTCTCTTTAGCTTTGCACTGGGATTATGAGGCTAATGGGAGTTTATAACCATCAGTTAGCAACTCTAGAACACTTATCTAAAAAAAAATGGGCTTTTCAGGCTTCGAGATGGCTGCTACTTTAGCTATACCATGTTCCTTTTAATAGGTGAACAGTATGTCACACACTGGAGCATAAGTAAGTCTGTTTGACAAGTCTGCATGATGCTAACTGGTACATGTTGGCTATGTTGGCCTCATAGCTCCAGCACAAAATGAGGAAGCAATGTTCCCTAAATATGAAATTTTATGAAAATGTTATGATTGCTGCTAGAATATACTAAAAACAAGCTTTATTATTACCTGTCTCTGTAAGCAGCAGCCCAGTTATTTCCAAAGAAGCGTCCTGCAACTTGATTCCCATCTTTGTCCTCATAGTGATACTTCCCAGTAAGCAGACCACCTGCACAGATAAAACAGACAAGCTTACACCAAAGACTGTGACAGAAAGGTCTCGATAAAGGACGTGAACAGTGTTGTACCTGCGAGCGGATTGTACGCATAGAAACGGATCCCGAAGTGTCGCAAGCATGGAATCAGTTCTGTTTCCACTTGTCGTGTGGTGGCATTGTACATGCCCTTTAAAACCAGACACAGATCAAAAACTGAGCTTTAGGCTCCGTGTATAACACACAGGCGAAGAATACAGACTTTTTTTACACACATATATATTTGTATACGCTTTTTGACTTTCACCTGATAGACAGTGGGAAGCACCCAGTTGTTGTGTTTGCAAATGCAGCAGATTTCAGCCACTTCCCAGGAGGAATAGTTGGACAAGCCCAGTTCTTTGAACTTTCCCTGATGATACAAAATGTTAGAAGTTGGATATTCATTCTGAAAGGTCTGTAAAACTGAAACGAAAACTCAAACAGTGAGATAATGATGCCAGAAATAACACAGCAGGGTACCAAACTCAGATCCCTAAAATCTAGTGATCGAAATTTTCCTCTTCTAAAGCCCTATTAAACAATCATACAGATTATCTGTGAAAATTTGGGGGAATTACACAGACTCCATTCTCCCTCCATTCAAAAGAGCAGGTTGCCTGTTTTTTTGCAATTTAAGACGCAACCAAGTCTCACATTCAAGCTGACTCACAACAGTCATAAAGCAAATAAACAGCCGTTGGCAGGTGTAGATATACAATACTTTAGTAAAAGCCTTGATAAGATGTGATAAGCTGAGTTGCCTCTACCTCTTTGTGGAGCTCATTGCAGGCCTGGAGTGTATCTTGAACAGGGTTCTCATGGTCAGGAGCGTGCAGGTAAAAGATGTCCACGCTCTGGGTCCGAAGCCTCTTCAGAGAGGTTTCTAGCTGAGAGCGCACACTTTCTGGCTTCAGCGTCTTGCCTTCCCAAGGGTTCGCTTTGGTGGCAATTCTAACTGGGAAAAAATGAAGGCATAGAAAACATAAATACATTAAAAGACATTAGAATTTGGCTTATTTAATAATTTACTTCCAATATAATTAAGTAAATATTGTCTAGTTTTTCAGCAATTTTAACACATCATCACTTTGAAGTTGATGATAACTGACTGTACCGCACATGTTGGTCATCATGTTGGCCAACAAATTTGACAGTGAAGGCCGAAGTCCAGCACAGTTTGGTGATTTCTGTGCTCAAGCACACCTGATACACCTTTTAAAGTGGCACCTTGGCCAAAACGAAAACATCTGTAAACATGCCTGCTCACCTCCTACAGTGGTGAAATAATAGTTTCTAGCAAGATAATTTTTTATTTATAATCAGTGGTGGACAAAATACACAAACCATGTACTTGAGTTAAAGTAGAGATGCTCAAGGTAAAATATTACTCCAGTAAAAGTAGAAGTCCTCCCTTTAGACCTCCACTTGAGGGAAAGTACAAAAGTATTTGCGTTCAAATGTACTTAAGTATCGAAAGTGAAAGTACTAAAAGATTAATTATGACTTTAATGTCTTATTATCATTTTTGTAACAAGACTCGCTTCATCAACTCATTTTAGGTGAAAATACTCCAGTGTCACTCTTGGTAAACCAATATTTTAATAGAATGACATTAACTTCTCTATCTGATGTCTATTAAAATTATCATAAGCACAAAACAAAGCACAAAATCATAAGCACAAAATAAATGCATAAGGTAGAACTGAGTGGCTCTGAAATAACTTTGTAAACAAGCGAAGTTTCAGTTTAAGATTTATTTGCAACTTAGTTACAAGTTTAAGTTTTTAATAAAAACTTGCTTTAATCACAGGATCACAAACGAGTTTTCCTTTACTATATTACATCTGTAGGTCTCTGTTCATAAACGTAAACTAGCCAAAACAAATTTACTATAAAATGAAATGTGTTTGTATAAATTCAGAAAAACAAACATATCAGTCACAACTGTGTGTGTACATATTTTTATGTTGTCTAGATTTTGCATAATGTAGTGGAGTAAAAAGATATTTGGCTCTGAAATGTAGTGGAGTGAAAGTAAAAAGTCGCCCAAAATGGAAATCCTTCAGTAAAGTACAGATACATGAAAAAAGTACTTAAGTACAGTAATGAATTACATTTACTTTCGTTACTGTCCACCACTGATTAAAAACCAAGAAAGCTCTGTTTTGATGATCTATCTTGAAGGTGGGAGGAGTTTTTGAAAAACAGCAACTGCTTTTGGGCAGATACTTGGATACTTGTGAGTGGGCTGTTGGGGGGGTGTTATTTTCCCCCTGCTAGCTGGCTAATGCAGATGGAAGCCAAAAAGCTGATTTTATTACTGGGTTGATATGTGTGTTTATTAGCTAGCAGTCATGACTTTTGTCATGGGGAGATTTCCAATAGTTGCATGACTTCTTTGCATAATGAATGCTGGTTATTGTACTATGAGAACATTGATGAAAACACAAAAAGAAAACCAAATTGTGAAGTTTCAATCAGAAGAGGCTGACTGACGAAATGCTGCACTACAAAAAAATATCACGTAACATGATAAACACCATAGATGCTAGCTTTAGGCTGGAGTGGCCCTTTAATATTAAGTTCAGTTGGTGTACTGGAGCAGGAAAGTCACTATGCTGAGCTGGACTCTGACCCTCCAGGACTCAAATGAATGATCCCTGTGCAAAGCAACAGTTCAATGC